GACGGTTCATAGCCACCATGTGGGTGCTGGGAATCGAACCCAGGCCCTCTACAAAAGCAGTCAGTGCTCTTAACCGCTGAGCCATCTTTCTAGCCCACTCCTCCATCTTTTTTAAAAAAATTATTATTTTTATTTTCTTTATGTGTATGAGTGTATTGCCTGCATGTATACAAGTGCACCCATGTCATGCAGTGCTCATGATGGTCAGAAGAGGACATTGGATCCCCTGGAACTGGAGTTAAGGATGGTTCGTAGCCACCATGTAGGTGCTGGGAATCGAACCCGGGTCCTTTGCAAGAGCAGTCAGTGCTCTTAACCACTGAGCCAACTCTCCAGCCCCTACTATGAATACTTTTATAAAATCTCATTTTCCAAGGCTTCGCTGCCATGTGTAGATGGAGAAGTGCTTCCCACACACTGGCTCTTTTGTATAGGGTGATCCCTCCCGACTCTCACAGGGTCTAATGATTCATCTGGGATTTTCTGAGCTGGTGATGACAGAACAGTAAATGCCGTTCTTGTTTCCCTTGGCCTTACACGTGCGTCTCATCATCCGCCATGCTGCACTGGGCAATGATGGGATCTCTCTTGTTTTGTTCTCATCTCAAAGACAAACCTCCCACCCGAGGTGGAATGTCAACTGCTGTTTCCTGTAGTCCTGTTTTTCACTGAGACCTGTTTATTTATGTAACAAAATATTCATGATGAACGTTATCAGACACCTTTCAGAATATGAGATGGTAATTGATTTAAGTTTTTGCTTTATTTTTAGTTTATGTATATGAGTGTTTTGCCTGCATGTATGTGAGTGCACCCGTGCTTGGAATGCCCACAAAGGCCAGAAGAGGGCATCGGATCCCCTGGAACTAGAGTTATGGATGGTTGTTAGCTGCCATGTCATGCTGGGAACTGAACTCTGGTCTTCTGGAAGAGCAGCCAGTGTTCTTAACTACTGAGGTATCTCTCGAGCCCTAAGGTAATTGCTTTTTAATTTTTATTACAGTTTTTGTTTGTCATGTGTGCTTATGCATATGCTCATGTACAAGCATACAGATCAGAGGGCAACTTGTAGAAGTCAGTTCATTCCTTTCACCAAGTGGGTCCCAGGGATCGAACTCAGATCATCAAGCTTGGCAGCAAGCACCTTTACCTACTGAGTCATCCCATCAGCCCCCAAAAGAAAAGTTATGAAATACTTTTATCTGCATTGACAGGTTTTCCCTTTGCATCTATTCACAGACATTGGGATCTGTGTCTAGTGTTAAGCCAACTTCCCCTCTGAGGCTTTCCCTCTCCTCACAGTCTTCAGGTACCACAGAATAGTTTACAAACTGGCTTTGGTATGAGATTGACCTTTCAGTTCTGCATATTTTCTTTGTAAGGTTTTGGTACCCATGCCATGTTGTCTCCATAAAATGAGCCCCAGGAGAATCTCCACCAGTGCAGAATGATTTGTGTACAGAACTTTTGGAAGGTATCATCAGAACCTTTGGGCTGTGCCCTTTCCCCATGAAAACATTAAAATAACTGCTTCCATTTAGTTAAAGCTTATAGGGTTGTTCAGTTTTTCTATTTCTTATGTCAGTTTTGATATAATTTTCTAGGAATTAACTAAATTGTTACAATTTGCCCATTTCTTTTTACCATAAAATAAGGGTCATATTCTCTTCAAATAATGTCTCACAAAGAAACACCAGGGTTTTCTGTCAATTGGCTATGTTCGAAATTGAATGTACAGCTTGCCCTCTGTATCATGGATTCAACAGCAGCAAATAGAAAATATTTGGGAGAAAAAAACTGCATCTGTGCTGAACATGGGCTTCCTTCCTGCCATTATTCCCTGAATAATACAGAAGGCCAACCATCGGGACAACAGTTACCTTGCACCACGTACACTTAACCTAGAGAAAAGCTAAAACATACAGAGCCATCGGGGTGATGACTCCGCAGTTAAAAGCACTTGCTGCTCTTGCAGAGGACCCAAGTTCAGTTCCCAGCACCCATGTCAGGCTCACAACCACCAGTAACTCCAACTCCAGGGAATCTGATGCCCTCTTCTGACGTCTGTGGGTACTGCACTCATATGCACATACTCACACAGACATAAACACATACATAATTTTTAAATAAAATAAAAATCTACCAAAAAAACATACAGAGCCTGTGCAGATTACATACAAATACGTCGTCCTTGTATATAAAGGATGGTGCACCTGAGGATGTTGCTTCTACATGGGGTCCTGGAACCAACTCCCAAGGACACCAAGGAATGTCTACATGTCTACATGTCTACATGTCTACATGTCTACAGGAATGTCTACATGTCTACAGGAATGTCTACATGTCTACATGTCTACAGGAATGTCTACATGTCTACAGGAATGTCTACATGTCTACATGTCTACAGGAATATCTACATGTCTACAGGACTGCAATGTCTACAGGAATGTCTACATGTCTACATGTCTACATGTCTACAGGAATGTCTACATGTAGGAATGTCTACATGTCTACAGGAATGTCTACATGTCTACATGTCTACATGTCTACAGGAATGTCTACATGTCTACAGGAATGTCTACATGTCTACATATCTACATGTCTACAGGAATGTCTACATGTCTACAGGAATGTCTACGAATGTCTACAGACATTGCTATGTGGAAGCACCTGCAGTCCATGAAAACCTGGTGCTAAGCCTCTTAAAATGTGCTTTTTGCCAAGCATGGTGGCGCATGCCTATGGTCCCAGCACTCGGGAGGCAGAGGCAGGCGGGTCTCTGTGAGTTCAAGGCCACCCTGGTCTACATAGTGAGTTCCAGGCCAGCTGGGGCTACAGGGAGACCCTGTCTCAAGAAGACAAAAAAAAATGTGCTTTTCAGCCATCTCCATGCACGAGCCAGAGGACCAGGGGCACCCAGTCACCAGGAAGATGCTGAGAGATCCACACCCCACACCACCCAGTGGCAGCTCCAGGGCGGCATGGCTGCACACTGCATCACCACTTCACAGGAGCTTTCTACATCAGCCTCCAAGGACCACTCTGACAGAGAATGTTCTAATGAAAGACAATAGGGGCATGTGACAGACTTTGAAAAAGATCATGCCACACTGACAGTGCATATCTCAGCAGGCATTGACCAGTCCCTGCTCCCTACACATTGCATGGACAGTGAGACCATCCACAGGTGGCATTTTCCAACAGTCAGGTGTACAGGAGCCCTCTCGGTCCACAGGAAAGGAGACAGTGGGGTCATGGGACACAGAAAGCTCTGAGATCACCAACATGGTTTTGAGACATTTACAGGTGTGTCCAAGTAGTGGGCCTAGGGCATATCTTTACCCTTGGTCAATGGAATTCAAATACCTCTGGCCATGGAGAACCACCTATGGAAAGAACCTGGAAGCTTCCAGTCTAAGGATCCGCACCTCTGCTGGGCGAGAGCCACATGGCCATCCTACAACCAACAACCAACTGATGCACACACAGCACCTACCAACAAAGACACTAGGTAGGTGCTGGGAACATATAGCTAAGCATCACCATGTGGGACATGACTCAAGGTGCATAAGAAGGGCGTGTCCCTCCCCTTCCAACCTCCCTAAGCTCAGCCACAGGTATAAAACGTACACAGGATAAGAGGAGGTATTAACAAAGTATAACAGAAAGAACTCCGGGGCTCAGCCAGGGATGTCACCCAGTCACTGCCACTGCACAGGGGAAACTGGTGTCTCAACACCCACCTCCTCAGACACACATCCCAGCACGGAGTGAACAGTTTGGCAGAGGAGGATGGAAATGTACAGGGACAGCATCCAGTGGGAAAAGCACCAGGGTTTTTCTGGGCCATTGGCCAGGTTCCCAACACCTGAACACAGGTTAACTTGGTGTCTGAACACTCACCTGTGACATCCAGGTGGAAGGAGACCCTCTGTCCCCCGGCCTCACAGCTGTACTCCCCAGCATCAGCCTTGCCCGCCTGCTGCACCACCAGCCTCCTCGTGCAGCCCGAGGCCTCCACTCGCACCTTCGAGCTCGAGCTCAGCTTCTTCCCATCCTTGAGCCACGTCACCTCTGTCTGGGCCTGGGCCACCTCGCAGCTCAGGGTGGCGCTGGTCCCCGCCTCTGCCTTCACCTCGCTGCGTGCCTGCTGCTCCTTGGCAAACACCACCTTGGGCTCTGGGGACAGGGAGGGATGCACAGTTAGATACAGTGTTGGTACCAATTTATTCCATAAAGACTGAATCTCCAGGGTTCCTTACACTAAACCCTTGAGGTCATAGATGTCAGGTGTCATACATGTGTTCAAACACAAACACAGTGCTTCCTGTCTCAGAGCCTTGAGTATACATTTGGGGGATGTCCTGACTCAAGAGCAATTTCAAGGTTAGAGGGAGGAGGCTAGGGCTATCCCAGAACCTGTACCTATAGTTTTCTGTCTCGGCCATATGAATGGCAGGTCCCAGTTTGTTGCTCAGTGATTTATCCCAAAGCCTGCTCGATATGTGTGCTCTACAGACTATAGCCTACATTCTCCACTGGTGTTATCTATACTTAAAATGTGCACAGCATTTGTTCAGTTCAGTGAACTTCAGATAACACATACCTGTGAACAGACAGAGCACCCCACCCATGTGGACAGGTCCCCATACATGGCCATTATTCTGACTTCTGTAATCATCAGTAACTACTTCAGCTTCAACCCAAGATTACAAAGATGGTTCCTTAAGATGGCATGCCCCAGACACTGTAGCTGTCTCAGATTATGTGACTGCACTCTGTGATGCTCACCCAATAGGAAAGTCGCCCAACAACAACTCCCTCAGCACATTTACTATATCCCAGTGGGTTTGTTTACTTCTGTCTGACATGTCTGTAGGGGCCATCCATGTTGCATGCAGAAGCTTGCTCTTTCCCTTAGCTACACAGGAGTGTGTTGTACAAACACCACAATGGACTGATTTTCCTTCCCTTCTAGCAGCTCATTTGGGTTGTTCATCTGGAGATAATCAGTGAAGATGCTCTAAACCTCCTTGAGGGCCTGGAGAGATGGTTCAGTGGTTAAGAGCACATACTGCTCTTCCAGGGGACCCAGGCACTCATATTGGGCAACTCATAACTGCCTGTGATCCTCAAGTACATGGAATGTGATGCCCTCTTCTGGCCTCAGTGGGCACTGCACTCAGGTGCACACACACAGACACACAGACAGAAAATCTGGAGTCTGAAAACATCCTTGGGTACATCTTTGGTAACCGAACTGCTGGCACAAAGGGCTCTGTGTGGCTTTACAGGGTACTGCACTGTACATACCCCTCCTTCCCCACACCCACTGTCATCAGTGTTCCTGACCTGTGTGTGTCCCACTCATCTCTAATGAGCACCTCACTCAGCACCAGCTTCCACATCTCCTCGTTTTCACATCTGAAAGATGCTTTCCTTTTTAAATAGAAATAATTTGGGACTGGAGAGATGGCTTAGTGGTTAAGATCACTGGCTGATCTTACAGAATATCTGGGTTCAGTTCCAAGCACCCACATGGCGGCTAGCAACCATTCATAGCGCCAGTTCGGGGGTAATCATTACCTTCTTCTGGCTTCTATGGGTATTTCATGACATGGGTGCACTTACATACATGCAGGGAAAACATTCATATACATACAATAAAAATAAATATGTTCAAAATTGAATTTGTCCTAACTTAAATTGGAAAGGTAATTTAACTATATTAAAATAATTATTTTATTTAATCACTAATGTAATTTACACAGGCACTGCTACAATTGTTGCCATTGGCATAAATATTCAAAGGCACACACTGGTATGAGGGTGAAGGCCACAGAATCTCAGTAATCCCGATCTGCCGGAGCAGTCACTCATTCAGTCACTTCCACAGTCAAGGGGAGGGGAGGCCTCTCGGGTGGCAGCGGGGAGCTGGGAGGTCTGCAGTGAGCAGCTCACACCCTCACCATCGTGTGGAGGCAAGTACAAATGTGCACAGGGTGAGAAAAGCCCCAACTACAAAGAACAATGGGGCCTAGTGGGGCCATTAGGTCACTGGGCTCCACAGCAATGGATTTACTAGAGCTCAGACAAGAGTGGAGCCATGATCAGTCCCTCCAAAAATATGGAAGAAAACAAATCAGATATGGTAACGTTGCTGAAGCTAGAGCTCAGTGGGACAGTGTGTAATTAGGATGTGAAAGGACCTTGGTTCAACATCCAGCACTAAAACATGTGTGTGTTTGTGTGTGTGATATGTGTATATGTATAGGTATGTGTGTATGTGTATGTATATGTATATATGTGTGTGATTGTGTGAATGGGGGTGTGCTGGATAGCTTTAGTGTCAACTTGACACACCTGGGTTGAGGGAGCCTCAATTGGGGAATTGCCTCTATTGGACTGGCCTGTGGCCATGTCTGTGGGGCATCTTCTTGATGAGTGATGTGGGAGGGCCCAGCCCACTGTGGGTGGTGCCATCCCTGGGCAGGTGGGCCTGTGTTGCATAAGAAAGCAGGCTGAGCAGGAGCCGAGGGAGCAAGCCTGTAAGCAGCGTTCCTCCATGGCCTGTGCTCCAGCTCCTGCCTCCAGGTTCCTGCCCTGAGTTCCTACCTTGGGCTCCCTGATGAACTGCGACCTGGGAGTTGTAAGACAAATAAACCCTTTCCTCCCCAAGTTGGTATTGGTCAGAGTGTTTTGTCACAGCAATGAAGAACAAACTAAGTCAGGGGGTGTGTATGAGTGTGGGTATGTGTGTATGTATGTATGAGTGGGTGAGTGTATGGGTATGTGTGTGAATGTATGTGTGGGTGTGAGCACAAGGTAGAGGTGTGGGGGTGTGAATGTGTGGGGTGAGAGTGGATGCGTATGAGTGTGTATACATGTGTGAGTGTGGGGGTTATTAGTATGAGTGTGCAATGTATATATGTGTGTGCATATGAGTGTGTGTGACAGTGTATGTGTGGTTTTGAATGTGGGATGTGTGTATATATGTAAGTATGAATGTGGGGGTGTAAGGGTATGTGTGAGAGTTTGTGTGAATGTGTGGATGTGGGTATTAACTGTAGGATATGTGTGTGGATGTGTTTGCATGTGTACATGAGTGAGTGTATGTGTATGTATGTGTATGAATGTGTGTGGATGTGGATGTGTGAATGTGTGTGATTGTGTGGGTGTGTGGGGTGTATGCACATGGACACCAAATCTAGAATCCATAGAGTCTATTAAATTAAGGGAAGAAGGGAGGGAGGGAGGGAGAGAGGGAGAGAGGGAGAGAGGGAGAGAGGGAGAGAGGGAGGCAGGGAGGGAGGTTGGGCCCAAATCCTAGCTCTGCAGCTTTCTGGCCAAGCACATCTTAGCCAGTTCAAAGCTCGCCTGTGCCTTATCTCAAATAAGAATAATCATAATTCTTCCTCATAGAATTGTTGAGAAGTTTAAGCAAGTAAAAAAATAAAAATAAGAAGCAGTTCACAAAATCAAGGCGCTCTGAATGTAATTAGCAATGGCTAGTGGCGGTTATAAGGGAAACTTTTTGAGAAAATAGGCCACAGAGTAGTACCTCACCATTATGCCTAGTGTGTGCATTAAGGAACAAAAGAACTTCAAGAAACCCACCTGTGACGTCCAGGCGGAAGGAGACCCTCTGTCCCCCGGTCTCACAGCTGTACTCCCCGGCATCGGCCTTGCCCGCCTGCTGCACCACCAGCCTCCTCGTGCAGCCCGAGGCCTCCACTCGCACCTTCGAGCTCGAGCTCAGCTTCTTCCCGGCCCACTCGCACCTTCGAGCTCGAGCTCAGCTTCTTCCCGTCCTTGAACCACGTCACCTCTGTCTGGGCCTGGGCCACCTCGCAGCTCAGGGTGGCGCTGGTCCCCGCCTCTGCCTTCACCTCGCTGTGTGCCTGCTGATCCTTGGCAAACACCACCTTGGGCTCTGGATACAGACGGAGACACACAGAGTCAGAGACGCTGTCTAGGTCAGAAAGGCCACACTGGGGAAAGATTTGAATGGTGTGCTGGAGAGCTTTAGTTGTTAACTTGATACACCTGGGGAAAGGGAGCCTCAATTGAGGAATTACCTCCAGGGCTTGGCCTGTGGCCATGTTTGTGGGGCATTTTCTTGATTGTGGAGTGATGTGGGAGGGCCCAGCCCCACTGTGGGTGGTGCCACCCTGGGCAGGTGATCCTGTATAAGAAAGCAGGTTGAGCACAGGCTAAAGGAGCAAGTCAGTAAGCAGCACTCCTTCGTGGTCTGTGCTCCACGTTCCTGCCCTGAGTTCCTGACTTGGCTTCCTTTGATGATGGACTGTGCTCGTAAGCCAAATAAACCTCCCCAAGTCGGTTTTGGTCAGTGTTTTTATCACCGCAATAAGAAAGAAACTAAAACAGATGGGGTGGCTGGAGGGTAGAGCATCCTCCAGGCTCTGCACATACTGAACCCAAGAGAAGCCCCAGCACCTCTCACACAAAACCACAGTTCCCACATACTCCAACACTGCTTCCAGTCTCCAGCTGGTGGCACTGTTTGCAGACGTTTGGGAGGTGTGACCTTGCTGGAGGAAGTGTGTCACTGGGGACAACTGGAGCTCACAGCCTCATCCACTTCCAGTTTTGCTCTCTGTGCTTCCTGTTTACCACTGGAGATGTAAGTTCTCAGTTTTCTGCTCCAGTCACCTCCCCCACCATGCTTTCCCCACCATTACAGACTCTCCTTTTGGAATCATAAGCCCAGGTAAATTTTCTTCGAGGGAAGCAAAGAGTATTGGGTCATTTTTGTAATATACTTGAATTATGGATCTGTGGAAATGAAACCTTAGCTTTACTGGGACAATAGATGTACCATCATCTGGGACTGGAAAAATCAACTGATTTAGTGAGAGACCGGTATCATTCAGGCAAAATCTTCCAGAAAGTATTTCCTCAGGGACATCCCACAGAAGCTGTGGTGCACAGTGACCAAAACTTCATCTCAAGCTGGTAGTTGAACTTGGCAATATACAAGAGTCTCCCACATAGTACTGGTTTTGAAGACATGAAGGGGTCATGGAGAACAACTGAGGTCTGGCACCCTGTGAGACCAGGAGAGGCCATTGGTAAGGTGCAGCCTTAGGTGCAGTGGACACCCCAGGACTGAAGGAGCCATGAAGAAAAGCTGAGGCTTGACACCATGAGAGGCCAGGAGAGGCCCTTGGGTGAGGGGACAGCCTCAACTGCAGTGGAGACTCCAGGACCATGTGGCGACCACTAAGGACAGCAGCAGGTGTGGAGTGGAGCCTGAGCCGTGAAACAAGCTGCGTGTGCTTTGGACAGAGTGAAAGGTAGAGCTGCCCACGTCCTTTGGAACCAGAAGATCATGACTGAGTCCCAGACATCGGACACTGAGCTACACTGCTGGACTTTGGTTTTACTAGGTGTCCTGGTTCTTTCCTTTTGAAATAAAGGTTTTACAGGAGGCCGCAGTTATGAGACTGGATATTTTAAAGAGACTTTGAACTGGTTTTTTTTTTTTTTTTTTTTTTTGGTCTTTTTGAGACAGGGTCTCCCTGTAGCCCCAGCTGTCCTGGAACTCACTATGTAGACCAGGCTGGTCTTGAACTCACAGAGATCCACCTGCCTCTGCCTCCCGAGTGCTGGGATTAAAGGCATGTGCCACCACACCCAGCCTGAACTGTTGTTTTTTTTTTTTATTTTATGTGCTTGAGTGTATTCCCTGCATGTATATAAGTGCATCTGTGTTATGCAATGGCTGCGGAGGTCAAAAGAGGACATTGGATCCCCTGGAACTAGACTTACAGAGGATTATTAGCTGCCAAGTGGGATGTGAGTGCTGGGAACTGAACCAAGGTCCACTGAAAGAGCAGCCAGTGCTCTTAACCACTGAACCATCTGTCCAGCCCCCAAGACTTTGAAATTTTAGTTTTTAAATGTTTCAAAGACTGTTGGACTTTTAAGGTTGTACTATGTTGTTTTTTTATTATTCGTCTGTGTATTTTTTTATGTGTATAAATGTTTTGCCTGCATGGATATAAGTGTACCACATGCATGCAATGCCTGTGGAGGCCAGAAGAGGGTATCGGGAGCCCCTGGAACTGGAGCTATGGATGGTTGTTAGCCACTATGAGGGTGTTGGGAACCAAACCAGGGTCCTCTGGAAGAGCAGCCAATGTGCTTAACTGCTGAGCCACCTCTCCAGCTCCTGTGCTCTGTTTATATTGTGATATTAATATAAATGGTTTATCAGTGATGTGTTGTGTGCCAAGTTGATAAGGAGTCAATTGTGCTGGTTAGTTTTTGTCAACTTGACACAAACTAAAGATACGTGGGCTGGGCTGGTGGCACATGCCTTTGATCCCAGTACTCTGGAGGCAGAGACAGACAGATTTCTGTGAGTTCAAGGCCAGCCTGGTCTACATAGTGAGTTCCAGGTCAGCTGGGGCTACAGGGAGACCCTGTCTCAAAAAGACCATAAAAAAAAGACACCTGGGAGGAGGAGCCCTCAACTGAGGAATTTCCTCCATCAGATTGGCCTGTGGAAATGTCTGTGGGCATGTTCTTGATTGCTGGTTGATATGGGAGGGCCCAGCCCACTGTAGGACGTGCCATCCCTGGACAGGTGAGCCCAGACTGTATAATAAAGATAACTGATAACTCCAATTCCAGGGGATCTGACTCCCTCTTCTGGCGTTTGTGCGTACTGCATGTACATGGTGCACTTTGTAGAGAAAACATTCATACACATAAAATAAAAATAAAATTTTTAAACATGATAATCTATCAATTATAAGACACATCTTGATTTCAAAGACATTAAAATGTAAAAAATGGATAGTCTTGGGCTGAAGAGATGGCTCAGTTGTTAAGAGCACTGGCTGTTCCCGCAGAAGACCCAGGTTCAATTCCCAGAACCCATATCGTGGCTAACAACCGTCTGCAACTCCAGTTCTAGGGTATTGGACACCCTCTTCTAGCTTCCATGGACATTGCACACACATGATACACTCACAGATGTGCACATAAAACACTCGTAATACACATAAAATAAAAATAAATCAAAACAAAAAAAATTAAAAGAAAGGAAAGATAACTGAGTGGGCCAGGCGAAGCGAGGCTTCCATGGTCTCTGCTTCAGTTCCTGCCTTGAGTTCCTGCCCTCGCTTCCTTCGACGATTAACTTTAAGCTATAAGATAAAATAAACCCTTTCTTCCTCAAATAGTTTTTGGTCAGTGTGGTGGTTTGAATGAGAATGTCCCCCATAGGCTCCAAGTATTCGAACATTTTGTCCCCAGTTGGTGGCACCGTTTTGGGAGGTCTTAAGAGATGTGGCCATGCTGGAGGAAGCACATCACTGGGGTGGGTTTAGAGAGTTCTTAAGTCTTGCCAGATTTCCAGTCACACTCTGCTTCTTGTACCTGAAGATGTGAGAGCTTAGCTTCCGCTCCTGCTCTAGCCACCTCTGCCCCCACGCCTCCCCACCATGATGGACTCTTGTCCCTTTGGAACTGTAAGCTAAATAAACTCTTCTTTTGATAAGTTCCCTTGGTCGTGGTGTTTCTCTCACAGCAACAGAAAAGCAACTAATACAGTCAGTGATTCTCATAACAATAGAAAGCTAATAGGACAGTAGCCTGAGAACAAAGAGGACTTAGGGTATAAACACCACTGGAGACATGGGCAAGGTCAGAGGGTAGCACCTGACCAGGTGCACACAGTCAAGGTCAATAACTAAGCAGGAGCCAGAAGTGGACAGAGGGGCTTCAACCCCCTGTAATGGGCAGGTACTGCATGAACAGGACATGATCCTCTCTCTGGTTGAGCCAGGAGAACATAGACAGAATACAGGGCTCTCTCACTGGTTAGCTACAATGTTAACTTGGTCTTTATCCAGTTTCTGCCATGAGTCCTGTCAAAGCGCCTGGACAAAGAAGCTAAAAGCCTTTTTAGTCTCTTGGGAATTTCACCCACTCCAGGGAGTTTCTCTCACTTTTCCTTAATTTCTGTTAATAAGTTTGTTTCCACTTCACTTATGCCCACAAGTGTCTGCATCTTTAATCCTCACTGGTGTGAGAACCACCGTCTTAGATTGACGTTTGGTGGCTGCGTTAAGCTTCTGGTACCTTAAGTCGCTGGTTCAAGCAAACTGGGCTGAGAAAGTCTTGTTATCAAAACCTGCATCCGTACCCAGGAGAGAGTGGGGAGTGTCCAGAACACCTATCTAAACCCTGGCAGCTTCACATTCACTGCTGATACAGCTTCAGGTATGATCATGTGGCTGAAATTCCCCCTTACCCTGGTTTACCTCACCTTACCTCTCTATATAAGAAGCCTCACGTGGGGTTGGGTTAAACGACAGGGAGCCGTGGGAGAGATCTGGGTGCAGATCTGTGTGGAGAGATCTGGGTCACTTCAGCCCTGCACGCAGGTAGGAGCAGAGTTCATGGCACCAAGAAACACTGGTGGGATATGAACAGCTGCTAGAAATGTGGGACGGAACATGATAGAGATTCCTGAGACATACAAGGAGACCCTGGCCACACTTAACATGTGTCCACTAAGCCCACCTGGATCAGGCAGAGGAATGAGGCTGGCAGAGGATAAGAGATGTGCAAAGACGGTACCCAATGGGGAAAACATCAGGGCCTGCCTGGCCATATTCAGGCTCGTAGCACTCAAACAGGATTAGTGTCTCAACACCCACCTGTGACGTCCAGGCGGAAGGAGACCCTCTGTCCCCCGGCCTCACAGCTGTACTCCCCAGCATCAGCCTTGCCCGCCTGCTGCACCACCAGCCTCCTCGTGCAGCCCGAGGCCTCCACTTGCACCTTCGAGCTCGAGCTCAGCTTCTTCCCGTCCTTGAGCCATGTCACCTCTGTCTGGGCCTGGGCCACCTCGCAGCTCAGGGTGGCGCTGGCCCCCGCCTCTGCCTTCACCTCGCTGAGTGCCTGCTGCTCCTTGGCAAACACCACCTTGGGATCTGGGGACAGACAGAAAGGGACATAGAAAGTCAAAGATATAGACTAGTTGATAGAACTAAATGAGATTCCTCCTTGACCCCCAAACTCTGGTGCCTCTAGGACCCTATTCTGTAACTCATAATAAGATTTTTCTCTTTAAAGCCTGGAGAGATGGCTCAGCAGTTAAGAGCACTTGCTGCTTTTGCAGAGGACCTGAGTTTGGTTCCCAGCACCCACATGGCAGCTCACGACTGCCTGTTACTCCACCTCCAGGAGATCTGATGCCCCCTTCAGGCTTCTGTGAGCACTGTATGCATGTGTCCATACACAGACACAGACACACTCATAAACATGTCAACAAAAATGAATATTTTTAAAAATATTTTCTCTTTAAGCACTCTATCCATTAATGAGTCTCTCAGCAGGTTTTTGTGAATGTAAACTCTCTGAATACACTTTCTGGAAGTCTCGTTTTCCTTCACTTTTGAATGACAGCTGGGTATGGGATTCAAATCCCTCAGACTTTGGAAGCTGTCATTTTTCTGCTCCTTGTTGCCTAAGCCTGAACTGCACCTCACAGCTCCCTCTTTCTTCCTCCCCATGCCCTCTGCTGCCATTCCACTCAGCTGTGCGTGCTCTTCACGTTCACAGTCACTGTTTCCCCTCAGACCTCATCATCTCCTACGCAGAGCAAGGCAGAGCCTCCTACCTGTGGATCTTCCCTTGTCTAAACTGATTCTCCATTTAACCTTCCAGGAATTAAATATGTCATCTCCAAACTCCTATCTCCTGGAATGGAATGTGCAAAGGACCGCTCCTCTTAGTGGACATCTGGACATCTCCAGATGTTTCCAGGTGTGCGGGATGGTCCAACAGAATGAGCACACTCTTTGAAATGCACTTCCAAATTACAAATTTGTAGTAGTCCATTTTCTATTTCTATAACTGGATATTTCCATTTCTATAAAATAAGTAGTGCATGTTAAAAAACGGGTTTGCAGGGCACGGTGGTGTATGCCTTTAATCCCAGCACTCGGAGGCAGAGGCAGGTGGCTCTCTGTGAGATCAAGTCCAACCTAGTCTACATAGCAAGTTCTAGACCACCTGGGACTCTCAAAAAGACCAAAAAAAAGCCCCAAAGAACAAACATTTAAAAAATAGCTTTATTTAAGTTCACCACATTATAAGTTGAAAGCAAAGACCAGGCAGCCTATCTGCTCAGCATGCAGAGGCCCCTTGACTACAGCACATCATGGTAGTAGTGTGCGCAAGAGCAAGAGATCACAGGCTAAGACAGGAACCAGACACTCAGGGGTTAGACCCACTTGTACAACAGCCCATTGTTGGTAAAATTAACTCACTTCACAACACTAGCATTAACCTCTTCCATGATCCCCAATGACCTCATCACCTTCTGCTGAGGCTCTACCACCTCTTAAGGCCGCCACAATGCAAAGCCACCAACATAATGGGGCTGGAGAGGTGGCATTGCACTGGCTGCTCTTGCAAAAGACCCAGGCTTAATTCCAAGCACCCACACAGCAACTAACAACTGTCCATAATTCCAGGTCCAGGGAATCTAATGCCCTCTTCTGACCTCCATGGGCACTGAATGCAGGAGATGCATTTACATCCATGTGGGCAAAACACTTACACATGTAAAATAAAAGTAAATTTTAAAAAGCCACCAGCTCAGGAACCTTGTTTCTTTGGTATGCATATCACTTTGTGTGTGCCAGCGTTCATCAGTGTGTGTTTAAATGCATGTGTGCGTGTGTGTGTGTGTTTGTGTGTATACTTTCTGTCTTTACCAGTCATTCTTTGAGAATTTCATACAATGTTTTTGACCATATTCACTCCTCTCCCCAATGCCTCCAAGATCAACTCTGTCTCCACTACTGATCCAATTTTGTGTCCTCAATTTTTTTTAAATTCACCAAGTCCAATTTTTGCTGCCCACATACCCTTGAGTGTGTGGCCATGCAACAGCGCTTCGTCAGCCTGCCAAGGGCCACACTCTTAAAGAAAACCAACTCTCCCTCCCCCAGCAGCCATCAGCTGCCAATAGCTCCTGGATGTAACAGCATGCACAAGACCTGCACAAACTCAAGTCAGACAAATCCCAGCACAGGAATTCTGAAACCCCGCTCCTAACCGAGGAGACATTGGTGACTGTGCACATATATTTTATGTAATGTATTATATGGCCGTTTAGGTGTATGCACAGATATGTGTACATGTTTCTGAGTGGGTATGTGTATTTAAATGTACTATATATATGTAAATATGTATTTGTGTATTTACATTTATTGCATTTGTGTGAGCATGTTAGTTGTGTGCACATGTATGGAGGTGGTATACACACATATGAGTATGTGTAAGGATATGTATGAGTATTGTACATAATTTATGTTGTGAATATGTACGTGTTTAAATGTGGATGGGTATTGGGGACAAACGTGCATGTGTGCATATGCAGGTGTTGTGCCTATATGTATGTATAAGCATAATATATGTTTACATGTTTAGGTATGCACTTTAATGATGTATACATGTGTCTATTTTGTGCTTAGGTATATATGTGTTTCTGAATATAGGTTTAAATGTACATGAGTGTTTGGCCTTGCTGAGCCCACTTGGGTCCCAGTCACACATGATTTGCCTCCAGCACCTGCCTGAGTGAGTTGAAATGTCACAGCCAGGATGCTAAGAATTTTCCATGCAAGCACCATGACTTGTGCTCATTGACAAGCCTGTGAGGAGTGCAAAGCTGGTTCCATGTTCAAAACATGACAGAGATGCCATAAAACATGGAAAACAATAACTTCCGAAAGCCACATAACAAGCTGGGCAAGCCCCTGTAACTTCAGGATCCAGTGCCTGTTTCTGGACGCGCACGCACACACACACACACACACACACACACACACACACACACACAATCTTTTAAAAAAGGAAAGAAAGAAATGGTAGAAAGACTCAGGAAGCAAAAAGTTGGTTCTTTGAGAAAGACCAAACTGACTAACCATTAGCTGACTGACCAAGAAAAAAGAGAGATAACTCAATTAAAATCAGAGATAAAAGTGGGGTCATCAAGACAGACGTTACATAAATGGATGGCTTATAAGAAGACATTATAAATAACTGTCAACAAATAAGACAAACTAGATGAAATGGGCACACTTTTAGAACAAACTAATGCAACGGTCTCGAGACAGAAAACCTGGAGAGACCTACAGTAAGTAGAAGGTAGAATCAATGACCAAACAAAAGAGGTGTCCAGGCCAGAAGAATGAAAGCTGTTTCTACCTGCAAATAGCATGGCCTTGCACCTAGAAAGTCTAAGGAACTCACAAAGGAACTTTAGTACTAATAAGCAGGTTCAGCAATGCTTGCAGACACAAGGTCAGCACACAGAAATCAGTCCTGTTCCTACACATGAGCCAAGAATGCTCCACACTGAGAGCTCATGGCAGTTGACGGCTGCTGAGGGAGGAAAAGCCACTTTTCTTGGAGGCGGGGGGCATTGCTAGCTAGCCCATGCCTCAGTGAATGACACACATGCACATATGGACAGCACTAATTGGACTTAATGCATTATAAAGAAATGAAGGGAGAGAGGGAAGGAGAGAGAAAGGGAGAAAAGAAGGGAGGGAGGGATAAAGGAAAGGGGGGGTGCAGACACAGGACTGAGGCCAGCCACCATTACTAAAGGAACAGCCCATCATCCCAGACATCCCCTTCCTTCAGAGCCATTTCATGAGGACATCAGAGGCAAGCATAAGGCCAGCTTGGATTCTCAGCCCAGGAACACCACATGGGGCAGAGATGAGCTATCTCCACTGAACATGCTTCACTTCCTGCTCCAAAGAATGGTGAGGTGGAGACAGGCTGCTCTCAGACCTTATTTAACTGTTATTTGTTTTCAGCAGTAGAGAATGTGCCAATACAGGCCTTCCTGAAACCTCAGCCACACACCCACCACCCAGCCCATGTTGAAACACTTCCCCAAAGCTTGTCTCATGATGAGGTCAAGTGTCTAACCACTGACCTGTGACGTCCAGGCGGAAGGAGACCCTCTGTCCCCCGGCCTCACAGCTGTACTCCCCGGCATCGGCCTTGCCCGCCTGCTGCACCACCAGCCTCCTCGTGCAGCCTGAGGCCTCCACTTGCACCTTCGAGCTCGAGCTCAGCTTCTTCCCGTCCTTGAACCACGTCACCTCTGTCTGGGCCTGGGCCACCTCGCAGCTCAGGGTGGCGCCGGCCCCTGCCTCTGCCTTCACCTCGCTGCGTGCCTGCTGCTCCTTGGCAAACACCACCTTGGGCTCTGGGGACAGACAGGGGTACACAGGGTTAGAGAGTCCAAAGCAAAGAAATTCAAGTTCACATTCAGAGGTGTTCACTGTTCAACAGGCCTGTAACCCAGAACAGCAGCCCAAGACATGGACATTTGTACTGGAGGCTCACAGAATGGTAATGTGTCTGAAGGCCTATCAGCTATTCTTAGCAGAAGTTCTGGAAGTCAGAAGCTGTACACTGTGCTACAATAAAGAGCATTCAAGACAGCGGCCATTCTAAAGGAAAAGCCACCAGCTTCATGTGCTTGGACACAGGCCAAGAGTTCAAAACTGCATGGGCCTTGCATGTAGGCCCCTGTGGGGTCAGTGATAAGCACCTCCTCTATGCCCCATGAACCAAAGAAACCAGCATCCAGAGAGCCCATCCCTATCACTTCTGCCCTGTTTACACTAAATCAGTGCCTCCCCATGTCTACTGAGATCTCCCTCATTGGAGAGGAAGCCTCAGGGTATACATAAATTGTTACCCATTTTTATTCACTAGGACAAAACGTACAGGTGGTGCAGTCAAGTGCAGGACTAAATGAGATCTGACAGCTGTGCATCAGCATCCACACCCTACCCCAGAGCTCCTGCCTGGCTCCCCTCCAAAGCAGCCACTGTCCTTATCGCTGGTCCTCTCTGTGTAAACTTGACTTCAGACAGATGCATTTTTCTCTTAGAAGTCACATGCACTCATAACAAGCTTAAGGTACAAGTGTGTACAAATAAGCACTGAAAACCAGAAAATATACACACACAAAAATGAATTAAAATATAACTGAGGGTGGGTGAGATGGCTCAGTGGGTAAAGGCACTTGCTGCCCAGCCTGACAACTTCAATTTGACCTCCAGAGCTAACATAGTAGAAGGAAGAATCGGGAACTGGAGAGATCACTCAGCATCTCTGAGCCACTCATTTCTGGAAGACCACTGGCTGCTCTTCCAGAGGACCTAGGTTCAGTTCCCAGCACCCACATGGTGGCTAACAACTATCCATAACTCCAGTTCCAGGGGATCCAACGCCCTCTTCTGGCCTCCACAGGTGTTGCAAAACACAGATACACTTGCATACATGGAGGTAATACATTCATACACATAAAAGTAAAATAATTTTTTAAAATTTCAAACTAAAATAAAATATACCCCCAAGCATCTCCATATCTTGCACACACACACACACACACACACACACACACACACACAGTCTGTATGGCTCTGAAGAACGTCTAGTTTTAAATCTTGTGGGTTGTTTCTTCTTCCTGGTGCCCATATCCTATTTCCAGGTGACATGAGCATTCAGTTGCTCCATGGGTAACAAAGAGTATGTACAGGGCCAGGGTATAGCAGAGAGGACACTTGTCCACCATGCATGAGGCCCTGAGTGCCGTCCACAATGATGTAGGAAAAAAGAAAAGACAATGGCCACGTACACGATTTTAAAAAAGCAAATGCAACAGCCATCCACATTTTTCCCACCTAAAGAAAGAAAAGCATTGTCACGTCACTTCAGCCCACCAAGGCTCGCTTGCCACAGTCCTGTGGCTCTGAAGGAAGTTATTTGTCCTCTCTGTACATTGGCTTCCCAGTCTCTAACACCAGCTGGTGACTGAGGATTCAAACAGAGACACAGGACATGCTGAAATCAGTGTCCCCAGGAAATGCAGGCACAAAGCAAGTGGCCCCGGCTGTGAACGTGAACTGCTCTGGAGCCCTGCAGCAGACTCTGCCACCTCAGGATCACAGCCCATCCACCTGATGACAGAGGTTGTGCACTTACCCTCAACACAAAATGATGTCAGCCTTGGACCCCCAGACACACATGCGTATATGCACCCCACACATATGTGAACATGCATACATACACACCACACACATGCAAAAAAAAAAAAAAAGCAAAAAGATATTTCCAAGCAACATGACCCACAAGCCATGTGACCAGCCACAGAGTCCTTTCCACACATGTCCATCTGTGAGTCCCAGTCACCCTTCCTTTCCCTGGTCTGCCACTGTCCTCTACTGAACAAACTCTCACTAGATTATGCACTGGCCACAGAACCACCCACTGAGGTTGGAAGTCTCTGTTTCTACGCTTCTCATTTCGAGTCCTGTATGGGTCTTTCCTTCTACGGCATCTCAGCCTTTCCGCATGCTGACTCCTTCACCCAGGTTCTCAGCTACTTCAACAGCTACTTGCAAGTGTCTGGACCTGGCAGACTCCCAGTCTGCTGGCTCCTTCCATAGGTCCTCTACTTGTCATTAATGAACTCCATTGCCCAAAGCTGAGGTGGCAGGGAAACCAGTGGCTCCCCAACACAGAGTGTGGGCACAACCTATATGAACTTCTAGCAGTGGCTCCCCACAACCAGAGTGCAGGGCACCCGATATGAGCATCTAGTGGGGATCAGTGATATGTTGCCTGCTGAGACCACATCCTGTGCTAAGTCTTTTATGGAGGGTTCCAGTCTGTGGGGGGAAGATAAACAAACACACACATCTGGACAGACAAGGACACAGGCCGGTGGTCACTCTCCTCAGGGAAGACACATCCGAGGGCTTTTCTTCCCCTCCACCCTGTGGGAGACTCCAGTCACCTTCTGTCAGTGAGGGGGATAATGTCTAAACCAAGGGTTATCTCCTGAGTGTGCTGGGCATGGGGGAGGCAGGTTGGGTATTGAGATCTGTTACTGGAGGACCCAGCTCAGTGCTTTCTAATCCTGCTCAGTACTGAACACCCTGATGGGTGGAAAAGGCTGTGAGGAGTGTCCACAGGGATATCATGGGATATCAGTCCCAAAGCCCTCAAACCACCCCAGCGGCTTGCATTGACCGTCACACCTCTCGGTGGCTCCCTCTAGCACTCAGGCTTACCTAGCCCAAGACTGAACACCGGGCCCTGTGGTGAGGGAGAAAAGCAGAGTCTGGGTAACAAGAACAGACTAATCCAAAGAGCAAATGAGTGGAGAGCATCCGTAACCATGGCAGAGGAGAGGACAGCTGGAAGGCGATGAGAGACAGGAGGGCAACACAGTACGGCGGAGCAAGTAGCCCGTGGCTCCTGCACTATGGAGAGAAGCCTCGTGCTGAAGGAAAGCTGGGGGTCCTGTGAAAAGACAGACAGTGGTCCTGCCCACACACAGTCCTCACAATCCTCAAATCCAGCTGGGGTTCTGGAGAGACTGGGACTTCTCCTGTAGGATTGGTCAGTAGTCAAGAGGAGACTCATTCTGTCACTCCCCAAGGCTCAGAGGACAGTGACTGGGTGCCATCCTGAGAGGGAACCTGCTGTTCAAACCTGAGCTACCCTTAGAACCTGAGCACAAGGAGCAAGGGGTTATGAGGCCACAGCCCCAGTTGGGAGCCTGTGGTACCAAGGAGGCAGTAGTAAGGCCTTAAGTTGTCCTCACCCTCTTCAGCAAGAAGCAGGACAACCTTAGAAACTGACAGCCCTGAGCTAAAGGTCAGTGCGCAGCTTGGACTCCATGGAAGCCGTGTTGTTTCCCACTCTGAGACTGAGAAGTCTGAAGCCTGGGTCCAGTGGACACTCCTCACAGCCTGTTCCATCCATCAGGGTGTTCAGTACTGAGCAGGATTAGAAAGCACTGAGATGGGTCCCCCAGTAACAGATCTCAATACCCAACCTGCCTCCCCCATGCCCAGCACACTCAAGAGATAACCCTTGGTTTAGACATTATCCGCCCCAAAGTGTTCAAACTCGGGATGGGGGCATCCCCTGCAGCAAATGAGAATTTTTCTGATCCACAGGATGCAAAACTAATGTTGTCAGTGGCAGCAGGTACCACTGCAGGCTTGGCACCAGTGTGAACAGCAGAAACAGAAGTCTCCAACATCAACCGACTACCCCACCCACCTGGCAGACTCCAGCGTCAGAGAGCTCAGAAGGAAGCTGGTCCCACACATGGTTTTGTGTTTGAGGTTCTTTGGCCTTTGCGTTTTTCACATCACTGTCACTACACTCTAACCCTTATCTCAATTCTGTCCCTCTTATGTTCACTGGATCTTGCTTATGCATTTTATTGTGATATTTTTAATCTCTTGCTCTTTTCTCTACCTTCTCTACATTTCTCTTGTGCTGTGCCTACTTATTTTTATTAGCTTAGTTCATTCCTTCCCTTTCCCTTCTCCTGTCCTTTTCCTTCTTGCATTCGTTATTCATACTTTTACCCTATTTGATTTTTAACTTCACAGCTTACTCTACAATACTTTTACCGCTCTCTTCTCTATGGTCACTGGTGGAATCGTAACTGGCTTTAATCAATCCAAAGTTTATTTTGTGGCTCAGTGTTGTGGCTATCACGGTTTCTTTTCTCCTCTCTGAGTGGCACAAGGCATTGAGTCCTCCAATGAGGTCTTCTCCCTAACAAAACTCTCAGATAAAACCTGAAGAGCTATATCTACGAACAGACTGCAAATCACAACACAGAAGCGAAGCATGAAAAACCAAGGCAGCATGACCCCTCCAAAAGACCGAACTCCTCAGCCACTGAAGCCAAAGGTGCTGAAGGAGGTAAAATGCCAGACAAAAGAGTGAAAAGTTTGCTTGTAAGGAACGACCAATGGCTTCAAAGAGGGTACAAACACACACGAGTGAAGTATAAAAGCCAACTCAGGCTGGGCGTGGTGGCACGGCTGTAGTCCCAGCGCTCGGGAGGCAGAGGCAGGCGGATCTCTGTGAGTTCAGGGCCAGCCTGGTCTACATAGTGACTTCCAGGACAGCTGGGGCTACAGGAAGACCCTGTCTCAAAAAGACAAAAAAAAAAAAATCAACTCAGGTCCTAGAAAAGAAAACCAGCCAGAACCAGCCAGAAAATCAACAACATGGAAGAGAAATACAGCAAGAAAACTGAGATTTGAAAAAGAATTTACTAGAAATGTTGAAAAAGAAATGCTCCATGGTTTAAATAATAACCAGTGAAAATCACCATTAGTAGATTAGACTGAACAGAAGAAAGAGTGTCAGGGATGAAGG